AAACACGTGTAGAGATTTTTTTGTTTGTTTGTTTGTTTTGTTCCTCTGTTGGCTCTCATGACAAAGTCAGCCTTTACTTTTTGGAATTAGTAGATGAGAATCCCTATAAAACAAATTGGGGAGAAAAGTACTTCTGTCATGAATCGGATCCATAAGAAGGTAAAAAACTCTGGAGTCGCTGAATAATTATAATGCTAGGGATCTGTAGATTATCTTAGTGTTTTTGATTGTTTTATACATTGCATATGCACTGAAAATAAGTGTTTTAGTTCTTTGCCTTAAAATAATTTTTCAGACATTCTACTTCTACACCAAGAAAACTTTTCTGTGTTTAAATGTTTAGGGGCATGCATAAATGTGACTTGTTTATAATATAGATTTCAACTAGCAATCCAGAGCAGTTGAATAACTCCTGGAGAAGGTTACCTTGATTCTGCTGTGTTAAACAGAACATCTCTAGGAGTGCTATGTATATTTTAGGTAGTAAGCTATTCATTTTGATCTCTCAGTGATTATTATTTGAGATACAGGTTTGATTAAGGGGATAATTCAGTAAATTCAGAGTATGGCTGGGCAAGAGAGCATGCTGCTGTCAAATTAGTACATGTGCCACCCTCCAGGGTAAAGGAGAGCTAACAAAATCTAGGTAATTTGGGTACTTACTAGCTCTGATTCAGTGCAGTCCTTCTAAATTGGGTTATCTCCTGTAAAGCAGATATTGAGTATTTTTGTGGTGCTTATATCCAAAATTTTGGGTTATGGGCATATTTCTCTTCTGGGATATGATGCCATGCTCTGGCACCAAACCTGGTTTATAAATCCTCCTGAAATACTGAAACATGATGTAGAAGAAGGATCTCCAAAACCAATCACTGCTACTGTTGTTACTCCTTACTGCACTCTGCACCCTGAGAGCTGCTGGAGCCTGGAGCAGTGCTTGGAATCAGTCCAGGCCGAAAATGGCTGGCTAATCAGCCCTGATGGACTCCTTGCTTTACGCGCCTATTTGCTGGAAATGCAGTGAAGAAACACAAAGCTGTTCCTGTGTAAAGATCTGGCAGGATTTACTGGTTTAGGTACCTTGCCGTGAAGGTGGCTCCTGGACCTAAACTGCCTTTGGAAACAGGTGGCCATTTTTGTGTGGTTTGCTTCTGAATTAATAAGCTTGTTGGACTTGAGCTAGTTCTTGTTATCTGTATGTGGTCATGAAGAATTGTGCAATAAAATCATTGTTGTACTTCAAATTGTGTCCAGCTGTCTTTGTACCTTAATCCAAAAGTAGTTACACTATTTAAGAGTATTCATTCTAATGTTCTTCTGCTAGGACTCCTTGTTAAATCCAGAGTCTTATAGTAGCTTATTTGTCATAGAAGCAGAGCCGAAGAGGCTGTAATGGGCTGGTTGCGTGTTTGTGACTGATTTGGGTTTGGATTTCCAAAGGTGTAAGAAACCTATACACAGATTCAGATGACAAATTTAGTCTGTAGTTTTTGAATTAGGTGGAGGTTCTGTAAAATGATGGTGAATCTCTTGTCTTATTTCTGTTGTTGCTGCAATATAATTAGCCCTTATGAAAGACACCACTTCAAATATACAACCTTTACAGAAATTAAACTGCTTTTACACAAATAAGCTGTGTCTTTTCATGATTTCTAGTTGTTTTTATTCTCTAACATAACAGGTCCTTGTAGCTGCTTGAAATGTATCTTTTGAGGCACAGGTAGCCCAATATGATTAAAACTTGCAGTATAAACCATTAAGCACTTTAAGGTTTGTCTGCTTTTCCAGCCTTTGTTGTTATCCATTCATGCTTGAGATTGCAGGGTCAATTCCAACATTTATGAAGGAATTGCATTCCTTCAAGAAACTCCTGGGACTTGCTGCTTTGTTTTGTTGACATTGTTTTTGTAAAATAAAACAGAGAAGGGAGAAGTTCTGAAGTTTTAGCTGTGGTGAGTTAGGGACAAGGTTTGAGTACCTAGCATTGTGTGATTTAAGCACTTAAGCAACCCTTGAATTTGAAAATAAATGTATTTGAAACTTGTAGTGCTTGAGGAAGCGGAGTTACTAGATTCTTTGGACTGTCTAGAAATACTGCATTATAAGTCAGCTTCTGCAGAAGAAAAGGCTTAGTGAATTACTGTGTGAATTGTGTGCCACTTGGTAGTAAGCTGAGTTTCAGCTGTCATGTAGATTCAGATGATGGCTTTTGTTATAATGTTTGCTAGTAATAATGGTTAGTGTAATTATGTTTCTATATACTCTACTGTAAATTCTGCAGTGTATTTGTGTTATGGTATTTGGAGTATTCTGCATGAACTACAGTGCATTGTGAAAGAGATTCAATGCTTAGAGAGGGGAATTGTCATCATGAATCACTAAGAAGAAACATCTCTATTTCCAGATTATATGTGGACTGGTTTAATTATATTTATAAAAAAGTAGATATGAGAAGGATCCATAGATTGAAGAGCTGCCACTGGAACCTGAAAATATGGAGGTTTTGAACTAGTGGGGAGGAATGGAGACTTCTTTCTTGTCCTCGAGAGATTTGCTTGGTGCTCTGTGGCAGTGTATCAGGTAACATGAACGTGATATGGCTGCTGTTTTGCTGTTTTGTTATATCCATGTGTGGTATATTAGGGTGTATGCAAGGCTGAACTGGCACTGAATTAGAGAAGGCACAAACAACTTGCAGTAAGGTAAACAAGAAGAAATGGATTTGCCAGATTACAGGGCAACGTGGGACAGAAAGAGTCAAAACTCTAAAGAGTTGAAGTAACAATGAAACATTTCAGAAGGGAGGAGAAAATGGCGTGGGAAAAGCGCACAAGACTGTTTATATGTATAAACCCAGTGGTTTTGCAGTATCTTCTATGGCTACTTCTGGTACTAGTGGACTGTTGGTGTCTCAGTGTGAGACGTGTGTGGGTTTTTTTTCTTGATACCTAAAAATAACTAACTATATTAAGTTAGTCCTTTTCTATAAGGAAGCTTTTGGTTTTGTAAAACATACATGCTTAACTATGCTTAAGCTTGAATAACTCTGTTTTAGACATGTAAACCATGTTGGAATTCAAAACAACAACTTTAAGTATATAAATCGATTGTGCAAATAAAGATGTCCAAGGGCCATGCTGTTTCTTGTACTTAGTGCTCCAGGAAGGATGACAGACAGGCTAATCTTGATAGCATTTGATCAAAATAGATTACTGACTTAAGTTGCTGAGGTGTACTTACTAAAAAGCATTAAAATCCTGCTGCATGATTGTCTGTGCTAGTGCTTAGGGCTTTTAGGTTTTGCTTTGTTTTTAATGTGAGGCTAATGCTGTAGTGGTAAAATAAAACCGTTGTGACTTTACAGAAGCAATAATTGAAATGTGAAATGTGGCGATTCCAGGGGGTTATGCGAACTCTCATATACTCGAGTATACAGCAAATTCAGAGCTATTTAAGAGATGGCCCCAGAAGGAAACTTGGAATTGGGGGGCAAGTTAATGTTCCTTCCCGGTGATAGGATTAACTTTTGCACGGTTCAGAAAAATGTCAATAAAAATGAAGAAAAAAGTAAAATGCTTAATAAGTGACTCCTGTGTTTCTTATACATGTTTGATATACTTACCTGTATATTTATTTCTCATTGTATTATTCAAAATATTGTTTATTACTGCTGGCCACTGTTTCTAGATGATTTTTTTTTTCTGGCCTTGTTTCTTCTGAATGAGCCAGTAGTATATAGTGTGTATATATATATGAGCCAGTGGATACATTACTTCTAACCTTAGCTTGTCATACTTGACAGCCTTCATGTTACTTGCAAATAAAATTAGTTTTCACAAAGAACAAAATTCCGTGTTCATAAACTAAAATATTTTAAATTTCACGTATGTGAATACTCGTTTTCTAAAAGAACACCCCTTTTAAACAGTGTATTCTCAGTTTCAAATGCTGAAGATGATATTAAATATTTAATAAAACTAACTTTTAAAATTGGTAAGCATTGGAAATGTCAAACTGTCAGTATAAACAAGTCTTACTGACACATAGGTAATATAATCTTACACAGTTTAAGCAATGTCATGCTTTCTTAAATACATACTGAAAGGGATCTCACAAAAGGAGAGCAGAATGAGGAAAAAATGATTGATTTGTTTCTCGGGTCTGTCTGTATCTTTAAAGGAAAAGTATTCTGAACTCTGAAAACATGTTGAAAACTAATCTAAACTTTTGTAACTTTTTCTTCAAGGTAAGCATGCATATGAGTTGTAAGTAGACTTCTAACTTTAAACCTAACTTCTAACTTCAAACCTAGCTATTTTATTATTCCCGGCAAACTGTTGGAAGTGCTCGTCCCTTTTGTATAGTTCAAATTTGACTAAAAAATGTTTGGCAAATGCATATAAATGAGGATACAATGGATTAGGAATCAAACATGAGCCTGCTTAAATAATTCTCAAGATTTTCTGGTTCACGTGTAGTGATATTGAACTCTTTAGTCATAGGCTTTAATTTGTGCATGGTGCTGACCTGATGCTGTGCAGGGACACTCACTGCATCCCTTCATTCAATTCACTCTAATTATCCCCAACTTCCTGGGGAGCCTGCTTAGAACTGGTCATGAATGTTTGTTATTAAGTATTAAGATATTAGACTACCCTGGTTACATGTAACAAAGTAGTTTTTAGTCTGAATTTACATATAGATGATCAGTATAGGAAGCTGAAATTGTATTTGTCATGATTTTATTTAATCAAATTCAAAATAATTTATTGGAATAATAAAACATTTTGACACTGACTTAAGCTCGGAGTTAAATGAAATGAGATTTAATGTTATTGTGTGAGTTCTTGTATGTCAATGTTGGTAATTTCAGTATGTATTTTAGAGTGGTTATAGTATGTAAATTACCTCTGAAACAATCAGATTTGTGTGCATATTTCAGGGTGATGGTAATTATTTTCGCTGGGAGCATCTGTTAATGCAGAATATTGCCTCTTCAGGTTCATGTGAAAATGGCGGACGAAGCTGTCTGTGTTGGCCCAGCTCCCACCAGCAAAAGCTACCTCAACATGGATGCCATCATGGAAGTCATTAAGAAAACCAGGGCCCAAGCTGTGAGTCTGAATGAGTCTATCTGCTGCAGCTGTTTCATATATAGAAAGCAGAAAAGCCAGAGTTTGTATTTTTTTTTTTAAAGGTGTGGGGGGGAAGTGATTGAATATGCTATTCCAGTTAGTTCATGTCACATGAGTTAAATGTGTCTGAAATCGCTACTGGAAATCAAAGGCTTTGTAGCATCTGGCAGTGCTGGTCGCTGATCCTGCAGGTGGCTGCTGGATTCAGCTTTCACACCAGGGAGCAGCTTCAGTTCATTTCCAAATTTGCTGGGGGAAAAAAAAAATCCCAATTAGTTTTGAGCACTAACCCTTTATATGCCATAATGGCTTTTTTGAACGTTTTACAAAGTGTGTCCAAAAAGGCTTTTGCTTAAACTTAGTTTGAATCACTTTCTAAATTATAGAAATGTTATCTGTAGGAAGGTAAGGTAAATGGTGCGTCCCATAATTATTTTTATTTCAGAATGTTTACAAAATGCATATTAGCTTATATGTGTAAATATGGCTATTCTGCTTTTCTCCCTCCAGACTGGCCAGAGATTCAAAGCTTAGCAGGAATTGGTTGGAAAAACTAATGTGTAGTCATGTTCACATGCCTAATGTTCTTTGTTCTGTCAGTGAAATAAATGTATTATTCAGAGCTACTGTACACAAAGCATTTATTAAAATAAAATTTGATGGGTGTATATGAGCAACACTAATTACCCTGGAACAGTTTGGATCAGCATTGTAATTTCTTTCAAAGATGATGTTTTCCTATAGTGCTTTCAGGGGCCGAAAACTTTCATATAAAGAAAAAACTATTTTGTTCCCTCTGAGTTTCTGAATATGGAACCCAGTTGTTCAGGCTCTTTAAAAGAGGGGAAAAAAATGGCTTATACTTTGTCTCTCAGAGTATATTGGATCAAGAACCTTATGTGAACTGCAAAAAGTAAAATGAAAACTCTTTCTCGCACTCCTCTCAAGTAATTATGCTGGGTGTATATTGGGGTGTAAATAGCAAACTAGGCACATAAGGATGCATGGTTTAGACTAATGAGACAGTAAACTATGTTCTCCAGCAAGGGTCGCTAGAGGTAGAGGAGGCTTATGGCTGTGGACCTTAAGACCACTGTTGTGATCAGTACTAGAAATATTTTGGGATGAGGAATACTTTGTACTGGTTATTGTGAAGAGTTTGAGCATATATGTGGAATGAGATAAACGTGGCAAAATAGAGTTAGAGCAGAAGGCAAAACACCAAAGGGAGTGTGTCCATTGCTCTCCAAACAGCACCTTTCTTCCTCGTTAAGTAAGGAATATGTGTTTCAGAAATAGCAGTTCAACCAGTGAGTCTTTACAGCTTGACTTAAGACAGATAAATCAGTGTGTTAAGACGGTTTCTTAAGGTATTCAACTAATTCAAATGCTTAGTGGTCTACTTCACATTGCCCAGAATCTGAAAGGCTGCAGGGAATTTGGTGTCTGGCTTCGGAACTCAATCAGCTTGAAACTTTTTTTTTTTTCCCAAGGTACACCCAGGATATGGATTTCTCTCAGAAAATAAAGAATTTGCGAGGCGTTTGGTAAGTTATTTCTATTTGCTTGGCTGTGAATGATGCACTAGGTGGCATATATTCATTCCAAGGTATATGAGGAAATCAAGATACCAGTTCAAGGTAGATCTAAAAGATACCTTAAGATAGGAGACTTCAGAGTGCTTTCTGTATATGTGGATTTCTTGAATTTTGAGGGTGTAATTGCAGCCTGTGTTTTCTTTTGGGAGAAGGGGAGGTGCCTGCTGGTGAGAACTTTACCAAGGATGTAAGAACCTTTTGGCATTTTCAGTTGTGCCTGTACTGTAAAACTGGGTCACTGAAATGATCTAGGTTAACAGTATCTGTTTTTAAGTGATCATTTTGGTGATTCGTAGCACAGCTGGTGAACAGCTGTATCAGCAGCCCTGAGAAGGTGCTGAACTGCACTTTCAGGATGGGAATAGAAAGCTGTTTAAAAACTGGCTTCTCTGCTGGTGGTCATGTATTGTGGAACTGCATTCTCTGAAAGGACCAAAGAGAGTCAAGAGGGTGCTGTTTTCACTTCATGTCTGAATTTATAAAAATTATTATTCACAACCTCTTTACTTCAGTGGGGTTTTCGTACTTCACAGAAACTGATATGTGGCCTTTTTTTTACTGATTTTTTTTTTCCCAAAAACTTTCATGCAGCTGATTATAAATTTAAACAGTGCTAGGAGAAAGTTACATGCACAATGTTTGAGCAAAGTCCTGAGTGGATGCAGTATGTGTAGTCACTGCAGATTGTGTGTCACAGTTTATTGGTTTTGTTGAGAATAAGGAAAAGCACATACTTTGCTGAAATTTCCAGTGAAAAGGTGTTGCAGCTACCAACTTTGTTATGGAGTAATCGAACCATATAGCTGAAAAACACCTTGTTTTACAGGCAGTAAGATAAATTCGTTGGTGGTTTTGAGAGTAATTTTCACCTTTTTGATTCAGAGTAGAAAACACAGATGAGGAGTGTGATTCTGTAAAATGATAGCTCTTTTTTTCTTAGCATTTGTGGACTAGCTCTTGCTTCCACATCTCTTCCTTGACTATGTCTCTTTTGGCTTGAGTTCTGATTGTAATACAGACCGTTACTATTTAGTTGGTTACTTGGTGTGAGAGAATACCACCTGCTCATTAAGGAGACTATTTGGGAATGAAATCTCAATTTTTTTATACTTTGCAGTTGCTGTGCTTTTTTAAAAGTCCCCAGATAAAAACAGGTCCAGGTTCTCTGTGATGCTGAATGCATCCTGCTGGTTGCTGTGTGGTGGTGATGTTAAAGTTGAAAGGAATTCTAAACACTTGGCGTTTGCCAGGATTTACCAAATCTGGGGTAATCTCTTACATGTTATTTTCATGCAGTTTAGCAGCTTTCTTTTATCACTGTTCTGCTTCATGTACCAGAGCCTCTTTTTAGAGGGAAGATTCCTGGCTTAATTTATAACAAACTGTGTTCCCATTGGATTAGACCAGTAGGATAACTGGCTTTAGTTGGCAATTGCTGTTTTTTTTAATAACAAAAAAATTAATGAAACAGAAGTGCTCGCTCATGCTATTTTGCTTTATATTTTGGTGCCAAACTTTGAAATTTGATAGCTATTACTCTAAACTGGGCACATTTCCTAGTAATCTGGTTATTATTTGGTGATGTAAATTGTAATATTGGTGACATGACAATCTGGGACACTTCTTTTGGCAGGATTAAGCAGAAATGGAAGAAGTACAAACATTCCTGTAAATCCCCTCCCCCTTCCTATTTCTCATCTTTTCACTCAAAGCCTTGGAACAGTGAATTCCTGAAATAATGTGGTGACTAGAAGCATGTTCAAGTTTGGGTTAGTGCTATAGTCTCAAAATAGCTTTTAATTATGTTTTGGAAACCTGGTGTGTTCTGTTCTCTAAAAATATAATAAAACAAGGTAGTTCTACTTTGCTTTCTGAAATGCACTATTTAAAGTCTCAGTTAAGACCTAATCATGCTTCCCTTCATGTCAGTGGCTCTAGAATATCAAACCCCTAGTGAGAATTGGTGAAATGATCTGTCTTCTTTTCACTGAGGGCTGCTTATATTTTTTCAAGACCCCCTGATTAATATATTTAGGAGGAAAACTTGCCTTCTGTTTCTTTTCTTTGTTAAAGCCTGTAACAAATGTTACAAAACTGTTGTGAAGTTGCCAAAGATGTGTTTTTGTTCCGTTTTCTTTCTCCTTATTCCTTTCCTTGCACATACACTATTTTGTTCTTTTTCCCTGAAAGTAGTGATGAAACTTGTGAAACCTGGGTTTATTTCCTGGTGTGCATCTGTACTTTTAAAACAAACTACCTAGATTCGGAAACAGAGAAATACACTAAACTTTTTTAACTTGCCAATCTGTCTGTAAGAGTGGTAATGAGCTGAAAGCAAAGCTTTGTCTTCAATTAACACATGGAGGGTCAGTTCACATGTAATCCCACTGTGCGTGATTTGAACAAAAGCATGTCTTTTTGTTCATTATTGCCTAAATGATTCATGGAATAGCACACAGATACAGACAGTCCTTGGGAAGAATTTGATGGATACATTTAGAGTATTGAAAATTACTAGTCTTTATTTTTTTCTTCTTTAGAAACTTAATTTTGTTCTCTCTTAGAATGGGGGAGAGCCCAAGTAAATGGTCTGTTGTTTCCAAAACAAAATTTCCAAAAAACAATTAGTGGGTGAATATCTGGCATGTTGTTCATTGTGATCCAATAAAAAAGTTGGTGCATTCAGTCCCCTCTTCGTGTGTATCTATTCTGGTTGCTGTTGATGGCTGACAGACGAGGGATCCATGACATTTATATTGATGGCTGACAGAAAAGGGATCCATGGCATTTATATCAAGTGAGTCTGTCAAAGATTTCTTAAACCCTAGGGTGAATTTCTTAAAGATTTGTATTTTAATATGAACTCTCTTGAAAAACTTTTAAGATAATGCTGATAACATCAGTTGTTATGTAGAATAACAAAACATGGGTTTGTGCGAGTGAATGTAGTTCTTTAGAATCTTACTTTGCATTCTGATTTTTCATTCAGAAATTTGAGCTATCCAGCTTGGAACTCTTACAGTGCCTTATAAAAATGATCTGTACATTGAAGTTGTAAAATTCAGTACATAAGTTGTTACTTGTATTTTATGCATGCAAATATATTTGCATGTAAGTAGTTTGCTTCCTTCAAGGAATAATTCTATAATATTCAGTATTGACATAAATCAGAAGGTGCAGTTAAAATCTATTGCCACATTGAAAAAAAAAATTGCTAATATCAGAGCTACAAGAACAATTTGTCCCTTTATATTTTGGAAAATTTGCTAGTGACCTCTGTATATAGGTTAGCTTGCTTGATGTTTCCCATTATATAAAATTAAAGCAGACCCGTTCTGAGAATCTCTGTTGCCTCAGTTGTCTGTGGCAGGCCTTTGAAATTTGGCAAGGAGAAAGCCCTGAGACTTAAGATGAGCCTTTTGGTTGGGCTCTTGTTGAAGATACACTTTTCTGAAATTGCCATTTTCCTTTCCTTCCTTGCAAACCTCCAGGGCAGCTGTTGTGGTGGGGGGTGGGAGTGCTGAGTCAGGTCTCTTCACATGTCAAATACTTTGGGATTGGCCCGTGGTACCAGTGACTATTTCCTCCTTTTCTTTCCCGGGTGAGGAAGGGAATTGGGGAGGAAAGAGTGAGAGAAAGCAAGCATGCGACTGGGTTGCACGGTCGTTATTCCAGAGTCAGTGCTTCTTCCTGTGGTCTAGCTGATGTTAGCAGCAAGTAGGAGTCTTACTCCTGTAGTTGAGGTTATATATGTTCTTGCTTCCTGATAATGGTTAGAAGCTTAAACCTTGATGCATGGTGTCTCAGTGTTGCAGTTGCTCATAATGGGATCGGTTTCCCCCCTTTTAATTAAAAGAAAAACACAAGTGAACTTCCCCTTCCTCTTCTGCCACAAAAGTCCCCTGGGAAGTTACTGCTTTAAAAAAAACCAGCTAAATGAATGCTATTCCTTTGCAAAGTGTAGTATGAAAAATACCAGTTTGCAGGATTTGTATCTTCAGTGTATTTTGGTCTCTTGTATGTATGTATATGATAGAGCTCATAGGTGGTGCATTGTGGTGTATTTTCCCCAAGAAACCTATGGAATTTGTGCATAAAATAATCTCAAAATGATAAGTTAAGGTTATAAATGCAACCTTTATCTGGAATATTCTTCTTTTGAATGCAGCCTTGACAATACTATCCTAATGCTCTGTTTCTTGATGCAAAAAAAGCCAGCCACTACCTTCTGCCAAAATGCCCTCCTTGCAACAGAAGCCGTAAACAGGGTGGGACAAAACGATTCAATTTTGGAATAAGATATAGACCTTTTCAGAGTTCCTAGTGGAACCTGGTTTTATACATCTTTTGTGCTTCTTTGGCAACTACTGTTTGGCATGACTAAGGGGAGAACAAAGCAGCCAGCACTATTTCTCTTTACCTTTGAAGCTAGATTAACATTCTTGGTGGAATTAAAAAAACCCAACAATGTATTGTCTGAAATAAATGGGCAAACAATATATATGGAAATGGTTGATTACATGTTTGTAAATGGCTGTTAAGTTTGAGATGGAAAAGGTAGAAAAAAATAACATATGTCATCTTATGTAAGGCGACAAATGTTTGACCTGTGAAGAACTTTGTGCAAGTGGATCCATGGCCCTATGCACAGCTAATTATGGGATTGTCACCCTTCAAAATGTAAAGTCTTAATGGCAGCAGTATTTCCTTACAATTGTTGTGCACGGCGCTGTTATTTGTAAGCAAATTGTGAAGTTCCTTTATCATGATTCAATGGATGTTACATTTTTGAGAAGCATTTGGTATGATTCTCATGCTGTTCTCACATGCATCGGCTTCCTACCTGGCAATTCATGTGACTGGTTAGCATTTGTGCTTTCCAGACTGCAAAGTGGTGGTTGAAAAAAGGCAGCTTTGGAAGCTTGGTGTCAAGGAGCTGCTTATGACAG